GGGAGGTGTCCCTGCCTATGGCAGGGGGTTGGACTGGATGAGCTTTAAGGTCCCTTCTAACCCAAACCATTCTATGATTCTAAAGAGTCCATGTTTTTTCAAACATTGAATGATACTGCTTTTCTTTACATTTCTTCAGGTTCTAAAACAAAGCTAGTTGAAGAGTTATGATCATTCCCTCCCATCCTCATTTTTTTAATTTTTTTTTTTAAGGCATATACCTGCACTTTAGGTATTTAACTGTTACAAAGTATTTGACGACAAAAGAGCAACAAGTGGAATTTTTCCCATCAGCGATCTACAGCAAAGGAATATAAGTGAAGACAGGTACAGCTAATAAGCCAGAGCTATTAAATGTCAAAGAACATTCTGCCTATGCAATACACTACTTCCCAGTTTCCAGTAAGTTTCTACTGGGAAACAAGCCTATGGTATTCGTCAGACTTACATTCCATACTTTAGAAAGTGTGAGGATTAGGACTTACCTTTCTGGAAAATTCTGCTGCTTTCTTTTCACTCTCTTCTACTTTAGCTTTGTCCACACATGTGTCTAGAATTCAAATAAAATATCACACAGAAGTCAGGTAGAAAGTATCACAGCTCTAAAGTGCCTTCTAACCATAATTACCCAATGACCCCATAACATAAAAACAACTGACAAAAAATACAATTAACTACTAGGTTGATATGACCAAACATCTGGTGAATTATTTTGATTAGCAAAATCTAGAAAAATAAAAAAAAGTGGTGAGGACACATGATCAAGAAAACTGAAGATGAATCATTATAGTTCTGTCTCTGACAGATTTGACTCTGCGTACCCTTCTTTTTTGTATGAATCTACTACAAAAAAGAGTAAAAAAAAGATTTTTAGACTAATAAAGTAATAGTTACTTCTGAGGTTTCAAAGTAAAGCATCCTTTCCAGATTAGGAATCCAAAAACCAAGCATTTCCTCATTTCAGTAAAATTATTTCATAAGTAAGGAGAATCTGGACAGACTGTGAAGCACAAATTTCTTCACTCAACAATGTTACAAAGCACTTCTATTGTCTTTCCATGCAGTATAAAACTTTAAACATTTTATAAGTGAAGTAGACACAAGTAACTACATATCATATGTAGGAACTGGCATGGAGACAAAACCAGTTCTCTAAAACTAGCAGGTCAGTAGAAACGGAAGGCAAAGTGAGGTAAGATCTTAACGTAAGATCAACTGCTCATGTTCCTAGAGTCATAAGTGAATAGGAAATGCAGAAATACTTGGATATGCAGGATACCTTTTAGAAAGTAAGTTGCCCCCACCACCCCCAAACTGCAAAGTCAACCTGTACAACATCCTTTCTTTGCTGCTTTTGTCACATCACAAAAAAAAAAGTTGTCTCAAATGAATGCATTCTTCCAGAGTAATTACTTCCCCATATGAAATACTCGAGAGATGCCCTTGTATTTAAAAGATACAATTAATCCCACCAACCTTATGAGAAACATAAAACAACACTTCTAAGTGCTGTAAACTGCCCTTTAAATGATAGTGACTTATTCAGCTGCTTCATTCCCACATGACATGAACACCCACACTCCTTCAATTTTTTAACTGATTAGTTTCTCTTACATTAACTTCAAATACTTGGAAAATATTACAGAAAATATTCTTAGAATGAACCATGTAGCAATTATAAATATACTAACAATTAATGCTAATGTAAATTTTCGTATCTGCAACAGATTAGAAACACACAGCATTTACAAACAAGCAATTTTTGGTTATTGAAATGATTGCATTGAGACATAAGTCAATACAAATTTGGAGAAGCATACTTCATCAGTGTCATTTTTTTAAAAGTTGTAGAGATTGATCTGGCCTTCTCCACAAGTATACTTGTAGCTTACGTGTGTATTTCCAGAAAAATGAAAAAAACTCACACTATTTAAGTTTAGAGAGAAGCATATAAAGAAAAATGTGCATTTCAGTAAAACAAGGTAAAATTGCTGGTAGTGTACACACCAATCAGATGAGTGAAATCCACGTCCATTCTTCCTCTACATTTAAAATCCGGGTCCATGCCACTACAGTGCAACACTATCTGTGATATGCATTCTTCTATTATCTTGTAATACTGAGGTCTAATAAAGAACATATTTTACAAAACAGTAAGAATATGATCATTTATACAACATGGAGAAGGAAAAAGGGGTAACTAACTCACAATATATGAATTATAGATCTGTCAGTAAGCGGATCAAGTCGAAACTCGTATTTGTGCTCTGGCTAATAAATCACTGCTGTCTGCTTCTCAGAAGGTTACCTGAAGGAGTTCAAGACTCCACAAAATACTGTGCACTTCTCACTTGTCCTCTGCCAGATAATAATCAGTAAAACAATGTCTTTAGTGCACTCAATATACGCTGCAATAATTATTTCGCATATTCTCAAAACCATGAATTCCATCACTGGCAACAATACCAGTATTCAATTACTTAGCAAATGAGTTAACAATTAACTTAATTATTTGATGTACAACTCTACACTACAACATCGGTAATCTCTAAAATGAGAGGAGCCTGTGCTCAAAATTATTAGTTCTTGCCAATGCAAGGTATTACATCTCAATTTCACATACAATAAATCTTCCAAAGTAGGAAACCCTCAAACCTAAACTGATGATACTCCAAACTTCCAAATTGAAAAAACAATATGTAAAAATTGATTATTTCCCATGTTACATTTTACTTCTTAACTTTATCATCTTGCATATCAATAGTTGTTATCATCCCTTGACAACAAAAAAATATTACTTCTTAGAGTAAGATTCTCTATGTGGTACTTTGTCACTGCTAAGACACCATGAGGAAGCTTGCACTAAAAAGGTAAGAGGCAAGGCATTGTGGAATTCTTTTCAATTATTAGTTGTACAACTAACTTCAAAGTTCCTGGAAGTCATGAAGCTATCAAACTTGAAAAAAGGAAAAAGAGCTCAACAAGTTAAGAAAGCTTGGGTGGTAGAATAAGGTTCAAGTTTTTGAAATTAGCATTATTATATTTAACAAGATCCTTTGAATCACACACAAAATCACAGAATATCAGGAGTTGGAAGGGACCTCGAAAGATCATCCAGTCCAACCCCCCTGCCAGAGCAGGACCACCTAGACCAGGTCAATATTAACATCGAGCAGGAAGACAAGTAACATCAGTTACAGAGCAACTATTCATGCATGATTATGAGCTACTTGGTTTACCAGAGTCTTGATTTCCTTTCTTCCCCCTATCCCCTCCAAAAAATTAATCAAACCTGACAGCTGACACTTACCGGACATAGTAATCATTCCTGATGAGTAGGAAATGTTGGAGAATGGACAAGAAGTAATTTTCAGAGGAAGTATCTTTCAACATATTATATAGCAGATGAAATACTTCATTCACATCAGTGCCAATGTTGTTAAGGAAATACAGGGACTGAAAAAGAAAAGACCACCACCACCCACCACCCCCAGACCCCCCACCACACAACAGTATAGCCACCACACCCTAAACCAAGTTCCTTAGATGTTGTTTATATTGTTTAAGTAAAACCTTTCAACACTCTTAACTACTACGTGTATTAATAAATCTCCTTTTCCCACTAAGATTATCCACAGAAATTGTCCTCCGTTTACCAATGAAGACATTTCATTACTACTCTGAAAAAATCATACTACATGCTTATTATAATGGGATTCTGTAAACATCTCACATAAAGCTTCCGCCTTCATTCTGAAGTGAGCTAGACTATTCACAAATACACTCTAGTCAATCCTTTTAATTTCTTAAAAAAGAAAGTTACCTGTAATGACCTGTGCTGTAACGCAACATGACTTGTCAGTGATTTTATATTCCTGTCATTGGTTGCATCTACCTTGCTCTGCTTCTTAAGTACCAGCTACTACTTTTAAAAACTGCAAGCAACCATTCCAAGCTTAGGTTAACTTATATTTACTGCTTCTTCACAACTAAAGAAGGTATGCATCTCAGTTGTTTCAGCACCTCCTGTAAGTTTTGTTTCAATTTAGTTATCAAAACTCATTTTAATTCAACCTTATAATCTTCCAAAGGTGCAATTTTATATCTTAATGTATTACAAGTCAGAGTTTAGCTTAGTCCATGTTATTTATGAAAAATTAATTCAGTTCCTAATGACTTAGATTTGACACAGATATTTAAGTACTTATTTCCTAAATAAGTTTTAACAAAAAAATTAGTGGAAAGAAATCAGCTTGAGAATGTCTCTGGAAAGACACACAACTGAAAACCAAACTGCACATAGAACATTCTAACTTACATTTAATGAAGTTATTAAACAATGCAGCAAGTTGTAACAGCATTTCTAGAAAGGATATTCCATTTCAGCTTTGATATCATTGAGACGATGTGACAGTTCAATTAAGTCTTCTTCTTTGTTCTCATCAAACACTTTCAGCTGAATATCAAGCTCTTCATTATCCTTATCTTTCAAGCCCTATTTTTCAAGGCATAGTATATCTTAATTTTCCTTTTTTTAAAGCAAGAATTCCCCCAATTTCAAAGGTTATAAAATGACAGAATATAAGATATGAACATATGTAACAGGAATAAGTACCTGGGGTTTTTTGCACAGCTGAGAAAAATTAAAGCAAAATATGAGCACATACAGCAGGTATGGGCTGCAAAACAAACAAAGCCTTCTAATTGAGATGAGTTCTCTTAAGGAGGCATACTCAGCAATTTATGCTTGTTAATGTCAGATTTTTTCTAAAAAAACAGCATAAGGATATTTCAAAACATTAATGAAAGTGAACTTGAGAAGCCTAAGGAATTGTAAAGAAGATATGCTCACAGCTTCTGTTATTAAGCTAATCCAGATCACAGCACAAAAACATCCACAGTACATTCAGAAATACAGTACAACTGAAAAACCAAACCAAAACACAGTACATGAAGCAGAGAAAAATTTGTTTTTCTTGTAATAAATACAAGTAATTTCTGTAATATACTCAAGAACCAAGCTTAGCTTCCTATTAGGCAAATCACAAAAAAGGAAATTAGTTCTAAAATCCATTAGTGTGCACTCTATGTTTTTAATGAAAATTGGCCTGGAACTGTCATAACTTGATATGCACAAACTGAATGGCAACTGTGTATGATTCCCAAAAAAAAGTAGAAACTCATACCAATTCTCATGTCTGAAAACCAGAGGGCTATTGTGAGTCTGGACAGATTAAGAGAGAAATACAGCCCTACCTCCTGACTGCTTTGTTCTAGAAACTATTATTTCTAAATTTCTTGAAAAGCTACCCCTAAGCACAGATATGGGCATGAGGTCATCTTAAGATGCTTTATCATTAAGAAAGTCACTTTCTAATGCAAAAAACATCCTTCTACCTTTGGCATTCATTCCCTGCAGGATTAATGATCTGAGCTCAATGTGTATGTTATAATTAATACCTTACAAATAAATAAACAGCAAGATAGTATTGACTATTTCAGTTGACAGAACACATAAAATAATAATTAACCTTACTAGAGACACAATTTCAACACAATAGCTGTTCAACATCTTTAGAAAAGATTGTTACCACTAAATGTCAATTGCTTTCACACTCATACCTCTGTGTCATTACACTGCAGTTTTCTCTCATGATTTATTACAATTTGGTTTATTTGCCACCCAACCCATGCCCAATTCTAAAGATTTTTAAGCACTTATTGTGTAAACTGCTTTCAATAGATTAAAAAAAGTGTTCTTCAGCCTTTCAGATGTTCTACAGCAAACAAAGACAGCAGATCACATTAATGTATTTGCGCGATATAAAACTTAAATACACACCAAGAAAAATTAATATACACACATCAGTAGCAGTTTCAAAGCCCAATGTGCTAAAAAGTGACAGTTTGTATTCCTTACAAATACTGATGACTTAAGACTTTGTATATTTAAAGTTAGAGCAGTATAAATTTTGTCTCAGACTAATGTAAGCAGGTAGTCCTTAATTTCTCACATCTATTGTGACAAATGACTAACCTAATTTAATTTCTAATATACTGACTTCTTTCAACTACCATGCTGGTTTACATGGCACATGAGAGCCTAAATTTACAACTCTGCAGAATGAAAGCAGATTTGGATTGATAGTCCTTTCCAGGTCTGACCTTCCCAACTCCTAATCTTTCACATTCTCTACTCTCAGTAAAACAATTTGTTTATCTTCAACAATCAAAGCAGTTGACAGTGATCAATTTCTATATACAAGTGACTTACAGGCAATATTTTCTTCAGGCCACAACGTAAAAACTCATTTCTCAAGTGTATCCTGAAATCAAGATCTTCTGGAGATGTAACAAGAGCATTGATGAGCTGCATACATGCTACCTGTTAATGGAAATACAAACACTTTTACTACGTGTAGACTGAAAATAAATACTATCTTTGACCATTCCTCTTTAATTATAAAACCAAATATTGAGAAATTGATATCATTTATTATGCAGCACACATGCAACATATGACTTTGGTTAATTTAAGAAATATTAAACACACTTCTGTTCTCATATGGAGTGCTTCTGCTATGTGAAAATTGTATCACAAAGGATTATACTTTATTTCAGAAAGTTATTTTCACACTACAGTTCAATATTGCAACTCCTTCTCTTTCTCTTCAGTATTTGCCAGTTTAAAAACAAACAATCTGGTTTTGCAGTAATCAAAAACTAAAAAAAACAAAACAAAAACACCACAAAAACAACCAAAAAACCCCAAAACCAACCACTAAAAAACCATCACTCATACACACAATAATTCACATCACCAGGTATCTTTTCTACTCCCGCACAGCACTTCTACAAAATGCTTTAAGTCTCAGGATACTGGCTAATCCTTTAACTGAACAGCTGAACACTTTAATTTATTTACTTTAATTGATTTACTTTAAAACAGGTAGACAATAGCATTATGCCAGAAGTGCTGATACACATTAAAAGACTAAAATGGAACCCCAGGGAAATACCAAGTTTGGCAAAAGATGTTAACTGCAAAAGAAGCAGCATTAGAGTAGAAAAAAAACATAAATAAAAATCAATAGCTGCGAGAAGAGAGATGGATAAAAGCACCCTTCCTGTTTTAATTACATTCACTATTTAGTCTTAATCAAATACCTTATGGAGTCTTAAATTTCTATTAAAACACTTTCAAAGGCTCTCCTTTTATACAGCTGTATGTTCACATAATGTGGTATCATCATGCTTGCTCAAATGATTCTTGTTATTTTACTACTATGACATGACTTAATAGCCAAAGTACATGTCCAATGTGAAATTAATAGAGAGAAGAGGTCCCATCTGCTAAAATTGCTTTTGCCAGAAGAGACTCTGGCTTAATGGCTTGTGTTAATACTTTACAAGTGAAGAATGGCTTTGTCAGAAACAAGTTAATGAATCTTGCAATTGTACCTTTACTGATGTGTACGAGAGGTTGGGGGGGCAGGGCAGGAATGTTGTGTGGTTGGTTGGCTGGTTTATATCAACAAGGTTATAAAGTAGGGAGCCAACTCAAAATGAATTTTCGTGATAGTATTATTTAGATTAGAATGTAATTTACAGAAACTTATTGAACATCACTAATGCATCACCTCTGAAAGAACTACTGACAATAAATATAGTGTTAAGACAACTATAGCTGACATATGTGATCTAACAATGGAAAAAAGTATACCTTCCAAGCAGGTAGACCCACTCTGCCTGCACTCTCTTCTTCCCTATTTTTCACCCATGCTACCTTAGTAGTACAAAATTTGCACAAATAATGTCTTATGAAAAGGTAGTAAGCCCAAGCCATCCTTTAGTAGGATATTCAGCCACTTGGTCTCTATGCAAATACTTAGAGTTATCAAAAAAAGCAATTGGAAAAGCTTGCATTCTAACAGTAACCAAAACTCTTGGGCTACTCAGTGTAATCAGAGAATAAAAAACTTATCTACTGACACATAAGCTGCAAGGAACATAGGACATGACTCAGTAAAGATCACTGGCACAAGAAACTTCCTTTTTTATTCTATAACAAGTATTTCTAAAACTCACTAGATTTATCCCTAGAGATGCACCAGTGGTTGATCAAGGCAGATATCAAACACACACCAAGGAACCCACAGTTCTTGTTGATAAAAGTAGCAACAATATCCTGCTACACTCTACTAACCTCAAAAGGTACCCTGCCAAAAATGGACACACTGTGTCCACATCTGTCACAGTTATTACAGATCTGAATATTTAAAGGGCTGTATATACCGCTGCACAAGTCCCAGCAGTAGGAACACAGCTACATACGTATCTTACAGATTTCTTAGCAATGGGAGAAATCTATGTGTCTATCCTAAGGAAACAGTGTTGTGATTTTAACAGAATGATTCAAAAGGACACGCTAGCATAAAAGGTAAATTAGGTATTGCCTACAGGGCAATAGCACTGGAGTTCCTGAAGTAATTACTTTCAATACATGATTTAGTACAAAATCTAAAGCACTCCCTGCACAAAGATAGTTAACATTAAGCTTCACGTGTCTATCTTCAGCTGACTATAAAGCCAGTATACTGAAGGCAAAAGCTGTAAGTTGCCAAAATCTTTCATAGCCAAATAAATATTTTGACTGCAGTTCCTAGAAAATTGCAGTATAAAAAAAATCCTTCAAAATACTTAAATACTTTAAGAAGATCTACACTTACATCTTCATTCAGTAATATTACAGGAAGTATTTTCCTGCCACAAGTACTCCAAACAGTAAGGTAGTTGAAGTGTGTGCTCAGTGAAGATATTCCAATCATGGCTCTAAATTAAAGTCAAATACTCACTTCAAGAGCACAACTCAAACTTCTGTCTTTTTACAAATATATTACTTCAATGGAATCAGTTCAAAGTCATAAGTACAGCAGTTTTACTTTGGGTGAGGGAAGACTAAGGGGAAAGTGGATGTTTAATCAAGCAATGCAACTTAGGAGTACTTTTTCATACTTCTTCCCCAAACCTAAGAGATAGAGTGGGAGCATTGTCTCCAACTCCTTGAACTCCAACTTTCTCAGGGCTCCAGTAACAATAACTAAAACACTCGTGAGGACAGACAGAGCTGGATTTTTATTGGTCCATTAAACCACAGAAATTTCCGTCTCAAGACGATCAGTGGCAAAGACAATAAAGTCCTTTCACAGACTTATTACCTGAGCACTACATCTGGCATCCAAGAAAAGAAATATCACTAATTACTCTTCATTAAAATCAAGACTTTTTGATCCTGTTTTTGGGACAAGGAGGCGAGTTTCTTGGTTTCACACCATTAAACAATTAGTAAACCTAGTATAAGGCCATTTCTTTTTTTTTCATTATTTACTAAACATTGAAGTAATAGCACTAAAAGATTTTGCTGGTAAGTAACTTAAAGATCATAAAATAATACAGTCTTCTAGTATTTTAGATTATTTCTGACATTTTAGTAAGCATACAAAAAAGTAATCCCACCTGCAGCTGTAAGAATTCATGGTTTTCCAGTCCTTCAACAATCTGAGAAAAACGTTCCCTGTTGTGTCTTTCAGCAGCAGTTGTTATAGCACCTAAAAGCTTGTCCAGACTGAGAAAGATACACTGTCAAAAAGCATACCACAGCCAGCTTCCTCATTTTAAACATCCTTAGCCAACTACTTACACAACTCAAGACATTGGTACACTGAGAGAGTCTGAATGCATTTATCTACACTTTTCTATATAAAGTTGAAATCAAACCAAGATGTTAAAATATCTACAAGATTAATATTGAATTAAAAAAAAAACCTCTAAATTTTTGTCTCATACAGTTAATGAGCAACCAATGAGGGGGAAAAAACCAAACAACTTTGAACTTCTTTAACATTTGGGAATTCTATTACATTGTCTTTTCAGAAATCAAAATGTTTTTATCTAATTATTGTATAGAGGCCAGAGAGTTTGCTGGTTTTAGCCTTCAGTAAACCAAGACACTCAATTCAAAGTAACTGTGTGCCAGGTGATTACCTTTATTTTAAAAAGGCCGTGGACATGTGATAAATAACTTGGAACTGTTCAAAACTTCAGCTATAAATGTAAATGTAAACTTTCTGCCCCTCTCAGATTTGTTATGTTTAGGGAGAGAGGGGATAGTTTAACAAAATCCATACATATATTTCTATATTATTATCTTCTAAACTAGAGAAAAAATCTTGACATGTGGTGACAAATCAGTAATTTCCAAAAATCCACCTCTCCTCCTCAGGGGACATGTCCCAGTCTCAATTGTCCCCAAAATAACAGGCTCAGTAGTGCCCTGTGCTAACACACATTCTAAAGTACCTTTAAATCTGACAGTTCTCCTTGTGGCAATTCCTGATCATATTCAGAGATATATGAGAAATAATCTTTTTCAGCAGCCATTTATGAACAGTTAGGGCTCATTAAACTGTCTCTTCTCTGTAGTAAACAATCATAATCCTTTCAGACCTTCCACTTAAGCCACAGTTTGTAGAACTCTGGTCATTAGCTTTTGTCTGATTTAATATTGGATTAATGTATCAGAACAGGTGAAAGTCTCTTTTCATTTAAACTACACTAAGAAAATAAAAAGTTCACAGGTTACATGTGTTTCACTGACAAGTTCTCACCTGCGTCTCAAACCAACAACTCATGAGCATTCAAAAAATGTTTTTTGTTTCAATATCTTACTTACATATTTTCCTCTCCAACAATGCAGATAGCAGAAAGTATTTTCACTGTTTCAGTCATCATGTGTGGTTGCTTTGGATCAATTGCTCTTGATAACAGCAAGAGACTTCTTTCATCTCCTAGAATTCTTTGCAGTCCGTACTTAAAGAAACAAAAAGCTTATAGTGAAAAGATTGCATTTGCCTGGAATACTCATCATCTTTGGGCTTCTGATCCTTAAGAATCCTCAGATCCCTTCTTCACTCATATTAAGACTGGCAACGCTCCGCTAAAACCTTCTGACTATTATCGCCTGGGGACACAAGCCAGTCTTCCTGATCTTACATTTGAGGCTTTCTCCTAAGAAAAAGAGCGAGTTACCTTCTAAGTAAGATACTACATCTTGTAAAATCAGGTATCTACCAAAAGACAAATCAGTTTTCATTTTCTATCTATATCTGAAACCTCTCAACACTATGAAAAGTTTGTTCATTTTTTTTTCCCCTGTAACAGCTCCTGGCAAGTCAAAATAGTATTTCCCACACAACGACCAACAGAGGTTGGATTTTTTTTTTTTAAAAATAAAGTATTTACCTTTTAATTTATTGCATATTCCGTTTGACTTGCTATCCAGATAAATCAAAAAAAACTTACACAGTGGCAATTATTTAAAAACAGTATTATCTTTCTATTTAATTTTCATTAGCTACAGGCTAGTTGATAAATCAGATATCGAACTGTTTGAAGTTACAGTGTAAATGTAGGGGTACTCACGTGACCATTTAAGTTTACTTTCCCCACTTTAGACAGGCTATTCTGTGAGGTTTTATGCACAGTTGTATTTATTATGTTTAGAGGGGAATAAATAATTGTAGAAACACTTTAGATTTTGCTACAAATATAGCAAAATTACAGGTTTGACACATGACTTCTAGAAACAGTGCTCACACTTTGTGAAGATGATTAATCCATGTTAGAAACAAGTTAGATAAAACTTTTACCCACCACCTAGCAACTTAGAAATTGTAGCTAAAAAGATATTAAATCATGCTCATTTTAATATCAGGTGAAAAGTACCTTATATTAACAAAAACAATGTATTGAAATCTAAATTTTGAGATAAATATTTTCCTTTCAGTTTCACAAACAACTAATTTCCTAATTCACTTACCTTAAATCCATACTATCATCCTGTTTGCCAAATATTTTACTTTGAAAAATCAATATTTAACAAAACTAAGACAAAATGCACGTTCAGAAGGGTTTATGATCAAGACTGTCAAAAAACAAAGTTACAGTATGTTAAGACCTACATTTCCAAAGAGTCAGCAAACACTGGACTCCAATTAACCAAACTCCTTCCTTTTCTGAGATTCAATATGCTACTTACATCTCGAAGACAACACAAAACAACCATGCTAGAAGTATTGTAATTTAAAGTACTTCTTACTTTATTGTTCATAAATGCTTTGAGGCACTGGATAAGTTTATGCTGATTCTTCTTATCAATACTTTCTTGCCTTGAAAGGTAGGAGGAAAAGAACATAAGTACAATCAATCTTCACAAGCTCCTCCACCCCTCCTGTCAAATTCTCTGAGTCCTTACTGTTTCTTATCCAGAAGCTTTTCCAATACATCCAACAGAAGTCCAAGACCTTCATGTCCAAAATTGTTAACCCAGCTGGAAAAAGGAAGAAAAATGCTTTTAATTATTTCTTAATCAAAAGAAAATCTTGCAAAATTACATCTCCAATACAACTTGTACATCTCTTCATAGACACTGCTTTAAGTCTTACTTCCCAGGAAGATCTGATCAACCATTAACATAAATGCTTAGCTCCAACCACTAGGAGTTGTTGTGAACCACAACAAGGTGAGGACATACTGCAGACAGCTGCAAACTTTTCACTTATCCCTTTCCAGCGTGCCAAGAATTACTTTCTTGTGCCAAAAAGCATTAGCTTAATTACTCTGGTTTCAAAAAGACCTCCACAACTCCTTATTGCTTAGCAAAAGCAGCATGATGACAGCTACAGCAGAAGTTACTTACCTGACTGGATTGCTAGTTAGAGACACTCTCAAAGACTCTAGACAATTAAGAAGCTTTTCCTCTGAAATCCCAGACCGCAATTCATGAATGTATTCTTGCGACGACAGGGTACATTCATGCTTGCTGTTTTTCAGTCCACCCTATCACAGAAGACAGAATGCTGCTTATTGTTATACTGATCATAGTAGCATTTAGATTATAACGTGTAAGACCAGCATTTCCACATAAATTTTAAAATCACCGCTTTCCCTGTACAGCTATGAAAGACACCTCACTTGATTTTGATTTGTAGTAAGTTTTTAATAGTTTAAGTTTTGCATCACAGCAGTAAATATTTTTCTGGAATCTTCTTTACTTCTTAAGAGTGAAGTACAAGTACTACATCTTGGATACAAAAAATAAATTCCTTCGTTCAGCTGTATTAATCTGTTTAACTGCTATACACTCTCATTTAACATCTACTTTACAACATTGTATTACAAACAGCCACTGAGACAAAAAACCCACACTTGTTTAACTGATCTTGTCTAAACTGTTTAAGTTTAACTGATCATTCCCACCATACTCATCTTCCATTGCGTTATCACTATGGACATATCCTGACTCAAGAATTAATTCTTTCTTCTCCAAAAGAAAGGAAAAGGAGAAGCCACTGAAAATTATTTTGAGAAATTGCTGGTATTCACCAACTGTTAAGTCACTGTTTTTAAAACTATGCAACTGCATGACTCAGTAATTCCTTGCTGTACTATAATTCTGTGCTTGGCCACTAACAGAAGTGTCTGGAGGATCTAGTTTGCTAAGAAAAAAAAAATAAACACATGGAAGATTTGACAAAGAGCTCATCTTCC